ACCCCTGACACCAATGTGAAAGACCTAGATTGAGTTCCAAGTTCTTGGCTTTGGCCTCAACCAGCCTTAACTATTGAGGGCACTTGGAGAACGAATCAACATGTGGGAGATCTATTTTCTCTTTGCACTTTTCTGTCTTTTGAAAATAATAACTCAAAATTAAATGAAAGATTTCTGTAATGGCATACTATGATTTTTATAGATACTGCAAAATTTAATACCCATTACTGCTTTGAAATTAGGCCATTTTCAAAAATGATACCAAACTATGCTACTAAATGCATTAGTACCTTTTTACAACACATCTGTCAAGTTTTAGAATCTCCTTCCATCAAGAGGTGGCGATGCTCCCTTCCCTTATTCTGGGGCCAAACATAGTAATTCCAATAAAATCAACAAAATACAGCAGAAGAAACTGACATTATATGACTACAGGGACTAAGTCATAAGGGACAAATTAGCATTCACCTTCCCATTGAACATAGGCTCTGGGAGCCACAAACCACCAGGTAGGAAATTCAACTACCCTGCAGCTATCATGTTGTGAAACAGAACAAAGTAGCCTTCCTAACCCATAGATACCACCTAGAGAAATGAATAGGGGTAGGAATGTAGAAAGTAAGAGAAAAAGGAAAAAGAGGAAAGAGGGAAAGGAAGAAAAGGGGAACATGGGAGAAGAGGCCTACATAGACTGTTACCTTCATTGGTAGAGACTGATGAATGCTTATCATAAGGCCTCTCTACTTTAGCTGATGGAAACATAAATTAGTCCCAGCCCTTTCAAAGGGGACTTCAAAAAGTTCATGGTGAACTGGAATTAAAAGGTAATTTTTCTTTGATACAGAATAATTTTGAATTCTAGACAATTTTAGTAATACATATTTTTATGAACTTTTTGAAGACTCTTCATTAGCATGGGTTTCAATATTTTTTTTTACTCTGAGAATGAATGTATCTTTTATTTCCATTTCCCATGATTTTTAATTACATATATTTGAAAGTCAAAGTGACATAGAGAAAGGGAGAGACAGAGAAAATTTGGATGAGCTAAACCGAAACTAGGAACTAGAAACTCCATCCAGGTCTCCCAGATGAGTAGCTGGACCAAACAATTGCGCTATCCTCTGCTATCCTCTGCTGCTTTCCCAGGAACATTAACAGGGAGCTGGATTGAAAGTATAGCAGCTAGGACTTGAATTGGCACTCTAATATACAATGCTATTGCATCTAAGGGACAACTAAATCCAGTGTGCCACAGCTCTAGCCTTCCTATTAATGTTTCTGATGTACACTCATGTAAGTTATACAAACTGGCTTTTTGATTGCCCCTCAACTCGACTCACAGAATTTGACACTTTTTGCACAGATCACTATTCAAACACAGATGTAAGGGAGCACTTTTGCAGATGTCTAATATTCTCTCAGTGTGGATCCATCATCTCTAAGAGGCTACTCATTGACCTTCCAGCTCCCCACCTGTAGCTGGTTCATTAAGTGAAAACACTGATCTCTACATGGGGACCTGCATTAGTCAGCTTGTTGTTACTGTACCTAAAATAACTGAGAAAAGCTACTTATGAAGGAAGAAGCTCACGTTTTGTAGGCTCACAGTCCAAGATCACAGTACCCCATTTTGGTCAGGCTTCTGAAGAGGGCAGTAGATGGTGGCTGATCTACTGATGAAGAATCACCTGGCAAGAAAAGAAGCATATCAATTTCTGTGCTCTTTCTTGATAAACCACCATGATTAAATCATGGACACCACCCTAATGACACAATCCAATCATTCCAAGATCTTTTTTCATACAATATTATTTCATCTGGTTCCTTTCTTGATTCAATAACATAAGACAGTGAGGATCAAGTCTCTAAATATAGACCTGTTACAGTCTCACACATATTCAATCCATATAATCAGACAACTTAATTTTTTCTTTTAATTTTACAATGTTTCAAAATAATTTACTACATTCACTTCAAATGTAGACATTATATACACAAAAATATGTGCTTTTTCTTGAAAACAGGTATATTAATAGCACAGAGGGGCTCATGACCATGAAGTGAGGAAAGAAGCTATAAGTCTTTTGAATTAGTTATTTCTTTGAAAAGTAGAGTTCGAGGGAGAGACTGAATCTTTCATACAGTTGTTTACTTTCCCAAACAGCAACAATGGCCAAACCTTGGCCATACTGAACAGATTAGATTGAAGTCAAGAGCGAGAAGCTTCATCCAATGTCCTCCTCCATGAGCGCAGGGATCCAAGTACTGGGCCATCATCTGATACATTGACAAGTACAGTAGTAGGAAGTTGGATCACAAGTGGAGAAGCTGAGACATGACCTGGTGCCCATATGGAATGCCAGCATTGCAGATGGTAGCTTCACCCACTATACCACAATGTTAGGCCCATGTGTTATCATTTATATGATCTCTTCAAGAAGTATTTACCTAAGCCAAAGTCATAAAGCATTTCCCATATTTATTCATTAACTTGCTCATTTCAGGGCTTAGGTTTACATTCTTGGTCCACTATCTATTTTTTATGTGGGGTATAAGACAGAAGTCTTGTTTCAAACGTCTGCATGTGGAAATCCAATTTTCTCAACATCATTTGTTTAACAGAGTGTTCTTTCAGGAATGAGTTTAGCTCATTTGTCAAAGATTAGTTGTCTACAGAAGTGATTTCTGAGGTTCTTTTTCTGTTGCAATGATCTACATGTCTATTTTTGTACCAGCTCAACCACAGCAAACTGATTTTGGTACTTTGGTGACGGGATGGGCAGAAGGAGCAAAGCAGTTATACTGACCCCTTATCAGCTCTCCAGGCTAGGCTTGAAGTCAACAACAACTGGAATTCTGTGTTGGATGCCTTGGTACTTTCTTCCTACCTTACCTGGGCAATATGGCATTTCCCAAATGAGAGCCAGATAGGTAGAAGTGCGGACAACAGCCGCAATGTATCTGTCTCCTCTCCTAGCATTGGGTCTCTGCTCTGCTCTTTCCTTTTTCCACTATTTTCCTCCAATCAGCCCTCTGAGAAGAACTAGGCTAGCTGGCTTGCTTGCTTGATTTCTGATGTCTTTCTGTAATTGAATTCAGTGTCTTCTTACTCGTCAAACATCTTGGACACCTTCCTTTAGTTTTCTTACTTGACCTTCTATGGTTGTGTTATCCAATCTGTTAGTTGCTAGCCACATATTGCCACTGAATACTTGAAACACGCCTAGTCTGAATTGAGAGGTGCTGGAGGTATAACATACACATTAGATTTCTAAGACTTAGTAGGAAAATAGATCTCATAATATTGTACATTAATTACATATTGGTATAGCAACATTTTAAACACACTGGGTTAAATAGAATGTGTCTCCAAAGCTAATTTTACTCTTGCATTGTTACCTTTTTCATATTGTTAGTAGAAAATCCACAATTTCATATGTAACTTACTTTTACTGGCACTGCCCCCACAGTGACCTCTAACAACAACAGAAATTTACTTCAAGTCTTTTTTTTTCCCTAAGAACTGCTTTCACCTATTTTTCTAGATACCTCTCTATATGCCCCATCTCGAACTTTTCTGATCTAAATCTACTGTTTTCAATTCTTAGTCTCCTAAAAATCACCTGGGCTTTTTACTAAAATTGTAGATTCTTTGACTTTTTTTTCTCCCACAAACTCCCCCTACTTTCCTGCATCTCTCCAACGGAGCAGGTGTATGCCATTCTCAAAGCACTTTACTCCTTGTTACAATCTCTTCTATTTTCACAAGCATACAGTCAGTGGAGAATGCGCACGTGGTAGACAGGCTATTTGAACACTGCTTAATGTTGTGGTATGCTTCCATTCACCCGTACCCTTTCCCAACTGTGACAAGTTTCCCTTCCACTTTTCATTGCATCCTTAAGTTGACTCAATAAGCCATAGTATTCAAGAACCTTACTTGGTTTGTTCCCTTCCCTTTGGGATAGCTTGCCTAATAGTTTACTAGATGGCTATCATTACATAGTTTGTTTCTCATATGACAGTACAATTTAAGCATTAATTTACTTGTAGAATATCCCTGTTTTATTGTCTCTCCTTTTATCCTGTGAATATTACCATACTGTCATTGTGGAATGTATCACAGTGCACTGATTAACTGCATTCTCTCTCGAGATTATCCACTCCTTTTGCTTTGCTCGTGTTCCCTAGTTCTAGAATTCGCCTAACATAGTGAGAGTCCAAGTCCTGTCTAGTGATGGAGCAGCATAGAAGCGGTGCGGAGAACCATAGCTCAACTGAGAAATACAAACTTTATAGGTGGCTGGCGTCACCGCCAAGCTCAGGCTGTGGGGGATCTTACCCGCCTTTTCACAGGCAGTTTACAACGGTCCCTGCTTTTTGGTTTTCCACTGTCTCCACCTTAAAATGGTTCATTGGTCAAGAACCTCCAATTAAGACATTTTAGGCGTTCAGTGACTCAAGGTGAATGAAATTCACCCCAAAAATGAAGCCCCTACACCTGGCTGGGCGGTATACGACACACTGACTCTTCTTTCCTCACGACAACCACCTTCCTGGAACCTGCATGTTACTCACAGTAACGGCTCTTTTCGTCATTTACGACTTTAAACAGGCATTTTATTATGTGTTTTGACGTGTTCCTTACGTTCCGGGTCCTTGCTTAAGATCCTTTCAACTCTCTCTCCCTCGGAGATTAGGTGCCTTTGGGACCTAAACTCTGTTACAGCTGCCGCAGTCAGCCGAACCTGTATCCTCCAAGACAAAGTCCGCCGGGCCCTTCCAACTCCCTGAACTCGGAGACGCGGCGGCAAAAGCGCGTCGACGTCTGAGGTAACTACCGCGGCCTCTGGAGTCTTTCGCCAGCCCGGGGCGCTTCGCTCCCTCAGCATCCGGAAGCCTCCCGGCTCCGTTCCGCTCTAGGCTTCACCTAGATTTTCTTGGTGGTGGCGCCCGGAGCCTCTCTAGCCTGCCCTCTTCTTCCTCTCCATGGTAGCGCGGAAGCGAGCGGCGCCGCGAGCGGCCGAGTGTAGACGCAGGCGGTTCCTTAACCGGCGCGGAAGAGAGCTGGAGGTAAGGTGCGGGAGAGCTGGGAGCGGCTCTGGGGTGCGGCGGGTCGTGGAGATGCGTTCCTGGCTGGAGAAGGAGACCGGGCGGCTTGGGGAAGATGGGAGAGTAGAGTTGGAAGGCGAGGCCTGAGCGCGCAGGGGCTTCGGCTACAGCCGGGCCGCCCGCGGCCTCCACCCGCGTTCACACCCTGCTGCCCCCAGCTCGGACGTCTGCGCCGTCTGCTCTGGCTTTGAGCACCCAGTCCTCTGCACTAGCCGTCAGGAGCAAGATAGATAACGTCCATATGTATATATTTTTTTCTTCTCTTTTGTTCCTCCTGGTATAGTGAACACAGGTGCCCCTTCCTCGTGGTGTCGATCATTGTAATAGAACCGAACTTGGGACGTTTCCCTGATGTCAGCGCTTCCGCCGTGTGGGGGGGGGGTAGGATTCGTTACAGGGCAGTTAGGACGCAATGGCCTTGCTTTCGGGAGGGAAATTCGGCTTTGTTAGCGTGAGTTTCTGGCGCTTTCTGAACTTGTAACCATGCTGGAGAAGTTGTCTCCCCTGTGCCGGTCGCGCCACCCGGAGCTGGTCCCAGGGGATTCCTTGCCCTCCCAGTGGCTGGTAAGAAAGGCGACCAAGCACAAATAAGCCTGTGGTGAATGCTGTAAATAGGGAAGTGTTAAACACCGATTAACACTTGCCTTCCAAAAGCTGAGCAGTATTACAGAAAACCTTTCCCTGCCTTTGGAGAGTGTTGTGCAAACACACTGGAGGAAGGACCTGTCATTTGTCGTTGAGTAAAGCGTCCTCAGGTGGGCACAGGCCTTAGTGGCATTTAAAAGAAGAGTATGTTAGCTTTTCCTGACACAGAAAACCTGTTTCAAAGCAAACAGGCCAATCCAAAGGCATGCTGTGCAAAGTAACTTTGTAGGCGACGCGGTTTGACCCACTGACTTGGGTTTCTTCTTCAGAATGATCCCAGCAGTTTGACAGTTTGGGCCACATTCAGGTGAAAGAGAACTTTGCAGTCCTCTTGGTCTAGAAACAACTTCTCCGTGTTGAAATCCCTCTTCTGCACTCATTGACATTGATGTATCGAGCAATTTGGAAACCTCAAGAGTTTTTGAAATTGTCCCTAAATAACATGAAAGTACACTTTCATGTGTGAAAAATGGAGGATACGCTTGGTGAACTCAGAATAAGCTGGGAAGAGCTTAGTAAGAGGAATTCTTCATATAAAGTAAACTTTTTTTTAACTTACTCATTCTGCAAATCCATGTTTGAGTGTCAGGTGCTGTACTGGGCTTTGTGACTAACTACAGCTGCAACCTTGAGGTTCTTTACTTGTAGATGGGGTGCCAATCCACACTCCATGTTATAATGAAGATGAGTGAGATGGTGTTTGTGCTTGGTACTGAACCTGGCACTTTAACTAGCTCTTTTTAAAATGGTGCTATGCATGACGTATTTTTTTAAACTATTTTTACCTCTTTTATTGGCCCTGAGCCTTCCCATTTACTTAGTGTCTATTCTCATGCAACAGAGAAGTAATGCATGAAGATAAAAAGCTTAAAACCTTGCTGGTTGCGAGATGCAGAGCTTTTTATAAATATGTGACCATGTTCAAAGCCTCTGATTTCAGTAGTATGGATGGATGAAAATATTTTTATTAAATAAAAGATAATGTGGGGAAATATTCCATAGAACTCTATACAAAAAGAAACAAAAACCCTATTTTTTTTTCAAGCAATGGTACAGTGAAATTTTTACATGAAACGTTTCTACAAAAGGGCAACATGTGAGTTCACCTAAAAAGTAAGTCGTCATTTGGATAGATTTCTTCTTAATGGTTCTGACACCTTGGGCAGGAAAATCATTTGAACCCCTGACAGAATTTCCAAGAATATAAACAGTTGTTTTGCATTGTCACTTGGTATCTGTAGTTAGCCATTGTAAAGTAGATCAGGGATGGTATGAATTCAGAGCCCTATAAAAATCAGAGTGCAGAAAGTATGTAAGATGGTATTCTGAACAGTATGGATTTCTGTTAAAACCCCTTTCAATCTACCTGTCTTATCAGATTTAAGGCAACAGTTTTTACTAAAAGGGACCAAATGTACCTGTCTGTCTAGTTTTCTTACCTTTTTTAAAAATAGTTTTTGTTTTAGTAACAGACCATGACACACACTTAGCACACAGGTTTTTTTTTTTTTTTTAAGCTTTATTTTTATCGGAAAGGCCAATCAAAGCCAGGGGTTTGTTCCAGGTCTCCCACGCAGGTGCAGGGTCCCAAGGCTTTGGGCCATCCTTGACTGCTTTCCCAGGCCACAAGCAGGGAGCTGGATGGGAGGTAGAGCAGCTGGGACAGGAACCTGGTATCATGGTACATGCAAGGTGAGGATTAGCTACTGAGCCTTCTCATGGGGCCCTTTTAATGTGTGTTTTTTTCAACATAGATCATGCTTTGTAACTTTTAAAATTGATGATCTGAAACAGTGTATCTTAGCTTGTAATGCTATTATGAATAACATGGCACTTTTTATTTTTTTAATGCAGGTTCTCATTCTGGAAATCCTGGGGCTGGTACTGAGATTTTACATTCTACCAGGTTCCCAGCTGATGCCAGTTCTGGTTCCTGGGCAGTAAGTAGTCTGTCTGTCTTTCTTTCTTCCTTTCTTTCTTTTTCTTTTCTTTTCTTTTCTTTTTTTTTTTTTTTTAAGCAGTAAGCCTGGTAATCAAGTTTAAAGAAAGAACACTAGACAGACCAGAAGAGGCTCACAGGAAAGAACTGAGAGCCCAGTCTATTCCAAGTGCAGTTTTTATGGATATGGGTATGAGCCCTCTGTCCTCCTCTCCCCTATCTTGGAATGTTGTTGGGTGGTAATTTTCTGGATGTGGAGTTCCTGAAATTTTTCCCAGAACTTCGTAACAGACCTAATAGGTGAGGATGGAGAAGATTTCCCTAAGCTGCTGTCGGGGGGGCGGGTCAGACCCACCTGACAGGGTTGCAGCAATATTTTACCTATGTAACTGTTGGTAAGACTTGCTTCCAATTTTTTTTTTTTTTACCCTCATTCAACCATACAAAAGACCCACCCCATAAATGCTGGTTGTACCTGAGCCTTGCTTTTTACATTTCTTCCCTTATTCATCCATAGTAAATTACTGTTTTCTTTGGCCCCTGATACGCATATGGTCTTTTGTCTACCTGCCTACCTTATCATTCCCTCTCAAGATAAGCATTGTCCAATGGGATTAGCGTGGATCCATCTTCTCTGTTTTCTTTGAGTTGGCATATGGGCATGGAGCTATCTCTTTCTCACCCCCTTCCTTTTAAAAGTTTGTTTGAAAAGGTTATGGAGAAGGGGAGAAACAAAAAACTTGTTTCTTCGCTCTGCAGATGACCACAATGACCAGTGGTAGGCCAAACTGAAACACGGAACTTGGCATTTCATCTAGGTCTCCCATGTGACTGGCAGGGGCCCAAGCACTTGGGCAATCTCTACTGCATTTCCTAGTAGGCAGTTAGCTGGCAACTGGATCAGAAGTGGTATGACCAGGCCACAAACAAGCACCTATATTGTATGCAGGAGTCCTGTATGTTATCTGCTATGCCACAATGATGGCCTCAGGGCTTTCCTCTATTGCTGTCTGTCCCTTGGAGTTTGGAGGTGGCCTTGAAAAAGTTGTTCTGTGTACTACAGAAGGTTGCTCACGACTAGAAAGGTTAGAAGCGCTACCTCATAACCATCTGGAACTGGACAATATTTATTCTTTTTCCATCTCTCCTGGCTGTCTGTCAAATAAGTTACCAGAGACGGCTTCACAGAGGTTCTACATGAAGGTGGAGGTTCCACATGAGACAGAGTAGCAGTAAATTCATTTAATGAAGAAAGTGCACCTAACAGACCAGGCAGTCCTTTCAGAAAAGAACTGAGAGCTAGTCATGTATTTCTACCACTAGTAAGGAAAGACCTAAGCAGTTGTTATGAAAGAACATAGTGTTTTTCTGCCATTGAAGAAAACAAAATGAAGCTATTGGGCCACCATCTGAAGTGGGGGTTTGAGACCACTAGCTACACACAATCTTAAGCTACAGAGTTCAGGTTCTTGTCTTCTCATAAAAAGAAATCCTGACAAGAGACAGACTTTGCACAAACAAGCTAGCAACACAGTGAGGAGAGTATATGCAAGCCAGGCAGGCATTCAGAAAAGTTAGAAAGTCTAGTTTGTATTCATAGTGGAGCATTTCTAGTTACGGGCCCAGTGTTTCTCCCTCCTGTTCTAGGACGTTGCTGAACAAGGGCTTTCCAGACATGGAATTTGTAGGGCTTTATCTGTACTGTGTTGTTGTACCTAATAACCTGGCACAAGGGGGAAGATTCCTTCAAGACTGTCCCCAGGGGAAGGCTGGGAACCACTTACAAGGTTGTGTTATATGGGCCACACTTGTAATATATAAGTGCCGGGCTACTTCCCAAGTGTGCTTCTAGGTTGCTCCCTCATTCAACCTAAAGAACTTCATAATTTTTGTTCTTAGCCCCCTCTCATACACATAGATTAATGTCTACCTTCCTGCATAATGAGAATACCACCTGCAGGTGTAGAGGTGACCTGCAAAGCCACATATATTGAAAGATGTAGGGAATACAGGCAACTTCATGAGGGAGAACAGTCCTCACCTAAGTTGAGGATCTCCTGTTTTATTTGTTTGTTTTAATAGACAAAGGGTTAATTCTCAGGTCAGTGTCTGGTGTTGGCAGTGTTTTGTATGGGCCTACAGCAGTTACTGATCAGGGAATGTGTATCATGGCATGTGGTGCATGAAGGAAAATGACGCTTGTCTGAGTAGGGGGAAGTTCTCACCCTTTATCTGTGTTGAGTTGGTATGGAAGGTGTGCATATATGGCTTTGTTATTGGCAGCCTAATTTTGTCATTCACTATCTACCTGCCTACTGTTATCAACTGAAATAAAATAAAATAAAATAAAATAAATATTAATGTTTCTGGCCACACTGCCAGAACATAGACCAAAATGAACAGAAGCAAAGAGTTCTACAGTAGAATTTTAGCTGAGTGAAAGAGAAAAGAAAGATAACACTGAGAAATATAAACAGAGTAGGAGCAACTAGAGAGTGTGATTTTTAGGAGAAAGACAGTGATTACTTAAGGTCACAACATGAAATTTTGTGTTACTTGAGCTGGCCTCGCTCTTAAGCATTTCATGAGCAAACTAGTATTTATATCAGGAAGTTAACCTATGTCAAGATGCTGAAGTGTTAAGCTATCTTAATTCCGAAATGCATACTTTATATTCTCATTCCACTGAGTTTTAATCAGTGTGTGAAGTTAATTTTTAATGCTGCTGACAATTTATCTTCTGGCAGATAGGACATTTTAGTTTGAAATGGAATAATTCCTGCAATTTTGTTTATAAGAGGTTTCAGTCTTCTTTCAGCCATAAGTGGGAGATGGAGCTGGTACCAGGGGTAAGATGTCTGCTTACAGCAAATGGGGTCACCAGATAGAGCTAGTGGAGTTTTTAGATTTAACAAAAATATAGGATGCTTAACTAATCTTTAATTTCAGATGAGTAATGAATTATGAACATAACTAAAATAAATTATTTGTACGTCTGAAATTCAAATTTAGGTGAAGATCAGAACTGACAGTAAAAAATAATTCTGCCCAACACTGACATGTGAGAGCGTGTTGCCTAGTGAATCGTACAAGGGTAAGAGGTCCTTCTCAGCAAAGATGCCAGTCAAGGTGCACATATCCTGTGTCGGAGTGCCTGGTGTCTCTGCCTCCATTTCCTCATAATGCAGACACAGGGAGTTACCAGGGATGGAAGGTCTATTGTAGTTCCCAGCTCCTGTGCTTGGCTTGCTATTTTGGGAGTGAACCAACTAAGAGGAGCCTTTTCTCAAACGCACTTTCCTTCAAATATGTCAAGTTTTCTTTTGAAACTCTGTGCTTAGTGATGCAGTTTAATTCCTTCAAGTGTTTCTCCAAAAATTAACAGTGATTGTCATAGTAACTCAAAATGATTGTAAGCTACTTTTAATCATAGGGGTGTATTGAAAGTTAACTTGAAAAAGAAACAATTTAACTATGCATTTTCCCCTTAAGAATCTAGGTTAATACTGGTTTAGCATTAAAGAATTGTGGATCTCTTTGGATCTTGGGACAGAGAGCACTGTCACGTGGAAAAAGACCCAGGGGACCAAGGATCAGGAGGACAAACAAATTTATTGTAAGCTTTCCTTACGTCCATTCAACCTGGATTTCTAAACAACCCTAAGAATGGACAATCCTAAGATTACTTTGCCTGCAAGAAGGCCTGGTCTTCTAGTTAGTGAGGCATAGTTCACATAGTACTGTAAAAACACAAGGCAATGCTCCTAAAGCTCATGAACTTGAATTCTCTCCCATGGTCATTAGGCTACAATTGTTTTCCAAGGACTGAAAGCAAGCCTAGCAGGAGTGGGCCAGAGAGCACAGTGGCAGAACCTATTACAGTAGGCAGTGTTCCAATGGGCCTTTCATGGGCCTTCCCCTAGACACCTGGTACACGGCCAAGGTTCTCAGGTCAGGAGGTTCCCAGCATGCACCTCTCCAAGCCCCTCGCTGTTACAGAGACTCTATAGAGGGAAAAATATATCATTGTGGAAAATGAGCAAAAACTTACTAGAAATATTGACTCCAAAGAAATTAAATCAGTGATGTTTTTAGAAGTCTATTTAACCTCAGAACAGGTATTTAGTTCACCAGTGTAAATTACAGAATCTACTAATAAACTCTTGTGAGTTAGGCAATGTCTTGGCTAATGTTAAATTTAAAAAGTGAAGGAATAGAGGCTCTCCAAATATAAGGAAAATATTTTTAATGAAAATAAAATTCATACAAAGATTAAAGGGTAAAGATGTATTGCATACATTTTCTAAAACAAGTTAGCTAAGTCACAGGATACCAGGCCAGCCTAGGTTTTTACTTGATTATAAAGTACTATAGCAGTGACTTTAAATTGGTGCCATTAACTTACACATATAAAGAATCCCTGGCATTATCACCTTAAGTGTTTAGCAGTTTCAGTATTGTGCTATGGCAGAGTTGGCCCAACTTACTTTCTTTTGGTTGTAAAGCTAAAAGAAAGGCCCGAGCCAGATTTGTGTCCTGTACAGCTATTTCCCAAGATGCCTTACCATGTGGTTTAAGGTTATTTTGCAATTCTATTTCTGGGTCTTTTTTCTTCTCCTCAATTTACCAACCTAGTTTCTGTTTGAAAACTGTAATTTTGTGATGTAAGCCCTTTTTAATTCATATGACTGGAACCTGTGTTAATTTTGAAATCTGATTAAAATTAAATACTGTTCTAACTGGAGCTCCTCACATGGGTGCAGGGTCCCAAGGCTTTGGGCCATCTCGACTGCTTTCTCAGGCCACAGGCAGAGATCTGGATGGGAAATGGAGCAGTTGGAAGACAAACCGGTGTCCATAAGCGATTTTGGCATAAACAAGGCAAGGACTTCAGCTACTAGACTACTGCACAAGGCCCTCAAAATAGCTTTTGCATTTTATTTGAAAAATTACAAGTAAGATTTATGGAAAAAAAGTGAGGCACTTGTACAACTACTTAGCCTTCTTTTTCTTTCTTTTTGATTTATTTCTTTGTTTGAAAGAGCAGAGAGATCTTAAATCTGTTGTTTGACTTCCCAAGTGGGCACATCAGTCAGAATTGGACCATTCCAAAGCGAGGAGCCAAGGATTTCAGCCTGAGCTCTCATGTAGCAGGCAGAGGCCCACGTACTGAGAATACCTGCTGTTTTCCTAGGCACATTGCTGGAAGCTGTCTGGAAAGCGGAGCAGCTAGGACTTGAGCCTGTACTCTAGTGTGGGATGCTGGCATTACAGACTACAGCTTAACCCTCCGAGCCACAATATCAGCTCCCTCAGGTTTATTTTCTGTAACTCTTTGAAAACAAAAATGTACTTTCTCTTCAGAAATATCAAAGAATTTGATGTCTATCATTTTAGATGTTGGTGGTTGCATTTATAAATCATATTGTGTGTATAAAATTTTATCAGTGATGCACTCTCTCAGCTGCTCTTTCCTCACCTCTCTCAGCTTTGTCCATGTTGATTCATTTAATTCATCTTTAATTCATTTTAACCTATGTAGGAATCCTTGTATGAAAAACCCGTAATTTCTGATTCTTCACAATTAGGGCATTTCTCATATGTCACTACCAAAAGCAATGGATGGTGAAAATCTTTCTATATAGCTTGTGCTTTTGTGGAACTACTTTTCTTCAGTAGTCATCATGAACTGAAAAACTTTCTAAGTCCTAGAGTGTACACTGCTTCATGCTCAGAAGAAAATAACAAAAGCTTTCTAAACCAGTTACACCAGCTTCTGTTCTACCAGTGTATAAGAAGCACATAAAATTATCCACTTTTTAATGATTTTTTTTAATTTGTTTTTTATTGGGAAGTCAGATTTAAAGAAAGGAGAGACGAAGGTCTTCCATACACTAGTTCACTTCCCAAATGGCTGCAACAGCCTGAGCCGAGCCGATCTGAAGCCAGGAGCTTCTTCCATGTCTCCCACATGGCGGCAGGGTCCCAAGGCTTTGGACCATCCTCCACTGTTTTCCCAGACCATAAACAGGAAGCTGGAAGGGAATTGGAGCAGCCAGATAAGACCTGGCACCCATATGGTATCCTGGCCCATGCAAGGCAAGTACTTTAGTCACTCGACTACAGCACTAGGCCTAGAAGTATCCACATCTTATTCAACACTTAGGATATCAGATTTGAGTTTCTCTAATTGCTAGGGAGCTTGAGCATTTTTTCATGTCTGTTAACCATTTGGATTTCTTCCTTTGGAAAGTGTCTTCTCATTTTCTTCGCCCATTTTTTGATTGGTTTGTTTTTGTTATGGTTATCCTGGAGTTCTTTGTAGATTCTGGATATTAGCAGGTTTTTTGTTAATGCAAAGTGTTTCAGAAATGCAACCTAATTTACATTTTCCTGAGAATTGTTAAGTAGACGTTTTTTGTGCATATATGGATTTATTGCTTTTCTCTGTGGATTACCTATATATTTGCTTAGGGTTTTTTTTGTGTTTTTTTTTCTTTTTTCTTTTTTTTGCTGGTATCTTCATCTTTTTTTTTAAATTGATTACATTTCATTTTATGACACAGTTTCATAGGCTCTGGGGTTCCCCCAACCCCTACCCCAGCCCTCCCCCCATGGTGGATTCCTCCAGCTTATTGCAATGTTACAGCTCAAATCCAATCAAGATTCTTTCATTGCAGACATATACCAAGCATAGAGTCCAGCATCTTATTGTCCAGATACATTCAACGGTTTCTTGGGGAGACCATCTCTGGTCTGAAGGCTGAATTGGCAGAATATTTGCTTAGTTTTATAATGGATACTATGTCACTTTCTAATTGAGTTTTAGAAGTCAGAAGATTTCCTAGTATTTGAGACAGTATCCTAACAATAACTTTAAATTGTCTTTTCCCTTTCTTTAATTGAGATGTGTATAATATTGATAAGTAATGAAATATGGCATTCTTTGTCTTAAATATTTTCCTGCTTGAAAAAATATCCCATATTCTCATGTCAAAAACTCCTATACATATGTTCTCATAAATTTTTACAGACTTTTTCAGGTTTAATTCTTTAAGACATCTAATTATGTTTGTGCAAGACATTTTTATTTATTTTTATTTATTTAGAAAATCAGACTTAGAGCTATCCAGCCAGGCTAAAGCTGGGATAAGTTAGGTAGATAAAATCCAACTAACTAGTGATTGTAGTACTATGTACCATATACCAGGCCTTCATCTGTTTAACTATTTGTCCATGGTATGTCAATACTAATCTGTTTTAATTTCAGTAGACTTATGGTAGAAGGGTATCTTATTTTCAATACAGATTTCCTTGGGTCTTAGATCTACTATGTACATCTGCTTGCTATATTCCAAAGGTGTTGGAGATGAAATATCCAACGGGAGTTTGATTGGAATAGTGCCGAATATAAATTTCTGAATATTACATATTTCCTAGAGTCACATTTTACATGATATTTAACTGCTTTTATTTAAGATGTCTTTTTTTAGTTATTTTTGCTAATAAAAGCTTTATATATTTTTTGTGTAAGATTTAACATATTTTGTTGGCTATCTTGTAGTGTCTTTGGTTTACAGCATCCCAATTGAATTATCTGACTAGTTTTAATAGTTTTTTGAGCTATTTTATTTCTCAGGTAAATATTCATATTATCTTTGAATGTTTTTTTTTTCCTTTCTATTTTAAAATGTATTAATTTTTGCCTAAAAGGCATATTTTACAGAGAAAGGAGGAGGGACAGAGAGAGATTGTCCATGTGCTGGTTAACTTCTCAGATGGACACAACAGCCAGAGCTGACCTGAACTGAAACCACTAGCCAGGAGCTTTTTCTAGGTTTCCTACGTGGTTGCAGGTGCCCAAGTAGTTGGGCCATACTCCATTGCTTTGCCAACTACACACAGAGCACTGGATCAGAGTGGAGGAGCAAGGGCACAAACCTGGTGCCCATATGGGATGGCAGGGCTAGCAGGCAAAATAACCTGCTCAAGTCCCCAATCAATTCTTACACTATTTAATGTGACCTTAAGTGGAAGCTCTTAAAGCCAGTATTGCTTTGTGGTTCTCAATTCTTGGAGAATGCTTTTCTCATGTTTGGTGATTATAATGTTTATTGTAGACTTTTGATGTTATTCTTTGTATACTTCTATCCTTTTTATATGATGTTGAGTCTTATTAGATACTTTCTCAATTTCCCATATAAAACGTAGCTCAAATATGATTCTTTAATGTTTTCTCTAGGGTGATCAGCGTATGACCTGCTAAGGAGAGGTTCTAGACAAAATAGAACTTGGAAATTTGCTAAATCAAGAATGATGGATCCGTGTTCAGTTGGAGTCCAGCTTCGTACGACAAATGAGTGCCATAAAACCTATTATACTCGTCACACGGGTTTCAAGACTTTGCAGGAATTGTCATCAAATGATATGCTTTTGCTTCAACTTAGAACTGGAATGACGCTTTCCGGGAACAATACAATTTGCTTTCATCATGTAAAAATTTACATTGACAGGTTTGAGGATTTGCAGAAGTCATGTTGTGACCCATTTAACATACATAAAAAACTAGCCAAAAAGAATCTGCATGTGATCGATTTAGATGATGCCACTTTTCTGAGCGCAAAATTTGGAAGACAGCTTGTACCTGGATGGAAATTGTGTCCAAAATGTACTCAGATAATCAACGGGAGTGTAGATGTTGATGCTGAAGATCGTCAGAGAAGAAAACCTGAATCAGATGTATGTATAAGAGTCATTTGTTTTTTTCTACTAATGACTTCCAGATTGTGACATTTATTTAATTACAAAAAATTGTATTTACCTCATTGTTCATTAGCAGACCATTATTTTAACATTGGAGGGTTGAAAGTAAGTAGTGTAGCCAAATACTTCTGCATACCTAATTTTGGAAAAAAACATTTTAGAAACTGTTGCTTGAGAATGTCAATACACCCAAGATGCCAAACTGCAGCTTGTAGTGCTTCGATATTAAAGGCAGCTTTTAGCGCATTCTGGCCAAATCAGTGCTTCATCAAGATTTTTTTTTCTGACACGTAGCTAAATGGAACTTGCCAGCCAGCCAGTCTTTAAAGCAGGATAAGTTCCTCTTTTATGATGGATCTCAAAGTTACTGCTCTAGAAGGAACATCAGAGAAGTGATTTAGAACAATTGTTTTTTTATTTCAATCTTTGTTTGATGATGTCCAGTAGTTGTTGAAGTTTTGAAAATGCCTGCGAGTTTCTTGGCTTCCGTCTTTGAAGCCTTATTTCATACTGTCATCGCTAATTTCTGGACTCCCTGTAGCCTAACTGCATTTTTACTTTGGAGAGTATTCATCATTATTCTCATGCCTGCGTGCAAATTATTTAATCACATCAAAACATTTTATAATTCTTGCTGCTGGAATATTTTTCTCCTTGATGTAACAAGCCGAATTAGAGGTATTTAAAGCTTTGAACTATACATACTGTTTTTCTTTTGCTTGCCTCACAGAGGCTTATCTCCAGGACCCAGTGTCCTCTGTAGTTCATACCATTCTGCATTCATTCTGATGCATCATAGTAAAGGTCTTTGCCCTTATTTGTTGCTTTTATGGGAAATATTACAGGCAGTGTTCTTTCCCAAAAGCACAAAGCTTTTTCAAAAAAGCATATTATTTGCAACCATATTACTTTTCTGCTCTTAAAAATATATAAAATGCAGTAATAAAACTTTTTCCTTAATGGCCCAGGGTCATCTGTAAGCATCTCGGTTATGTGTTCATGGATTATACGATAGTTTTCTGCCTTCTCCCAGATTGTGAAGCAGCCTTTGCAGTTTTTACCACTTTATGTAATATGCCAGAGACCAAAATTATATCATGAAAATGTCATTAATAAATTAGCCAGCTATCTCTGAATAGGGTCCAGGGTTTTGTTTTACTGCACTTGAGTTCTAAAATTGTGTGCATATGCATGTATTTCACACTGCTAGGTTGGTGTATGATCTGGATGAATATATTGTGGATATTAATATAGTTATCATCTGAGTTAGCGACTTCTTTGTCTTTTTTTTCAGGGAAGAACTGCAAAAGCTTTGAGGTCATTACAGTTCACGAACCCAGGAAAGCAAACAGAATTTGCCCCAGAAACGGGTAAAAGAGAAAAAAGAAGACTTACCAAAAATGCATCTGCTGGTTCAGATAGGTAGGCTGTATGTTGCCTAAAGCGTTTGTTAACTTGGTGCTTCATATCTGTTTTGTCCCCTTATTTTCCTCTCACATTTCTAATTTTCTGGGTAGACATTTTTAAATTGGATAATATAAAATGAGGAAAATTTTCCTAAGCCTTGATTTTTACTCACAGATATTAAGACATCTATTTCAACTATAAAAATGTGTTTCTAAAGGGTGGAAATGAAGTGGCAGTAATATTTTTGGCATGAGAGATAACTGAAAGGCGCTGGCATTGTGGTGTTTCAGATACAGCTGTATCCTCCAATGCTGACATCTCCTAACAGGTAACAGTAGGTGTTCCTATCACTCCACTTTTGATCCAGCTCCCAGTGAATGTTCCTGGGAAAGCAGCAGAACACAGGCCAAGTACTTGAGCTCCTGCACACAAATGGGAGACCCAGAGGTTCTTAGTCTTGGCTGTGATATCCATCTGGAGAGTGATTCAGTTAATGGAAAGCTCTCTTTTCTTTTTGTTTTCTCTCATACTGGCTTGTTCTTCTCTGCCTGTTTAGAGACATCTTCCATTGCAAACCACAATGGAAGGGGTTGAGCCAAGCTGAAGCGAGAGACAGAGGCTTCATTTCAGCCTCTCGCATGGGTTTAGGAGCCCGGAGATTTGGTTCATCCTCCTCTGCCTTCTTATGCATATTAGCAAGGAACTGGATTGGAAGTGGAATAGCCGAGACTTGAACCAGTACCTATATGGGATGCCAGCATTACACACAGCCATTTTTAATCCACTTCTGTGTAACACCAGCCTCAATAAATTTTTAAAATCCCTAAAAACATATGCATTTGGATTAAAATTTTTTAAAAGAATTAATCATATAATTGGCAAATGGATTCTTGAGTTGTAGCTAAAATATATTTTATCAGAATGTACGATTTTTCTTTTTCACATGTCTGAAAGCATTATTGTACAGTCAATAAGATGAATAGGTGAACTGCGTAATTTAGAATATGAATCTAAACTGTGGAGCATTTCTATGCTATTGGCAAACAAATGTTAGTGTAATTACTGAGGCTTAAGTGCAGTCAACATTTCTACTAGTGCATTTATGCCAGCTGTTAAGGTGAAAATAATTTAAAGTTGAATGATTTAAATATTTTCAGGCCATGTTTTCTGGAGTTCATTGAAGAACAGAAAGCAGATTAATTGAAATATAAAAGCCTACAGGGTGATATACTGTACTACAAATAACATGCTCTATGGAGGTGTTTGCATTAGTGATAAGACACCTCTTCAGACGCTCACCTTCCACTGATGTGCAGTCCCAGCTGCCTATTAATGTGTACCCTGGGAGACAGCAGGTAATGGCTCATGTGGTTGGGTCCTCACCACTCAGATGGGAAACCTGGATTGAGTTCCTGCTCCAAGCTGTTGTTAGCATTTGAGGAATGAACCAGTGAATGAGAGCTGTGTGTATGTAATTAAATACAAATACACACACACATACACAGACATATGTATTTATTTAATGGAAACTGCTTACAAAGTATGACCAGTGAAATGAAGCACCGCTAACTAGCCAGTGGGTTTTTTTTTTCTGTTTACAGTAAAGGAAGAAAATTTTTTTGACAAAAATACACTTACCTTTTGAACAAGGCTCTTGTCCATTCCTTTGCTATTTACATGTAAATGGACTTGAACGTTTTTGGGATTTGTAGAATTCATTTGTTACTGATGTAAAATAAATCTGGCAACTTACATACCACTTGACAGAATCTCATCTCTAATACAGACTTCTTAAAGATTTGTTTATTTTTATTGGAAAGTCAGAATTACAGAGAGGAGGCTATACAGAACGATCTTCCATCCGCTAGTTCACACCGCAAGTGACGGCAATGGTTGGAGCTGAGCCAGCCAGGAGCTTCTTCCAGGTCTCCCAAATGGGTGCAGGGTCCCAAGGCTTTGGTTGTCCTCTACCACTTTCCCAGGCCACAAGCAAGGAGCTGAAAGGGAAGTGGAACATCCGGGATACAGACAAGCACCCATATGAGGTCCCAGCTTCAGCCACTAGCCTACCGCGCCAGGCCCTATAAAATTCTTATGGCCTTAAATATTTTATTGGTTTTCAGTTTAAAATATTCAAAGGCAGTGTTTTTGTGAGATGTAATTCATTGTGTCTTACTTCTAGACAGGTGATACCGGCGAAGAGTAAGGTCTATGATAGTCAAGGCCTCCTGATTTTCAGCGGCATGGACCTCTGCGACTGCCTTGATGAGGACTGCTTGGGATGTTTCTATGCTTGTCCTGCCTGTGGTTCTACCAAATGCGGAGCCGAGTGCCGCTGTGACCGCAAGTGGCTATATGAGCAAATTGAAATCGAAGGGGGAGAAATAATTCATAACAAGCATGCTGGGTAATTTGTAGTGTTGAACTAAGATGTTTGCAATGGCCCTCATTCTCTTTCTAAAGTTCTGTCTTTCTAAGATAGATTTTAAGCTTGATTACCAAATGACAAAGATTTAACCACTTTAAAATGTACTCAGTATGCTCTGGATGCCTCTCCAACATTCTCAGCAATCAGCTTTAAACCTCCATTGGTCAGCTTAAAGAAGTGAAGTGTAGACAGTGCTCAATTTGCATAGTTTCCATAGGCACACATTTTTGTGAGCACAATTTAGCTAAAAACACCAAATCTCCTAACAGCACAGTTTAGCTTCATATATCACAGGATATTACCGATTTGTGACTGCATCAAAGGCCACTACACTTCTTTGTGATGAGGGACCAGTCATATTCTTTGTAAATTCTGTGCATGATTGTTCCTGTTATCTGTTCAGTTCACTCACAGCAGAGCTTGTAGTTGCACTGTCACTCAGGTGACATTTCATACAAGTGCATAATTAGAAGAATTGACCAATTAAGATGAAATGCAGTCAAAAAATCAAGTGATAACTGAAATTTGAATTCATGGAGTAGTAGATAGTATCAGTTGTGACAAGGTTTTTACTACTTTTGTTTTAGATTCCGGATATGTATGTGGAGGCATTTAGTGAAGGCAAGCTTAACAAAAATGAGAAACCTGATGATAATGAAAAGGGTGACTGTATCCCAGTCACCTTCAAAAAAGGATATGTAATGTAGTTACGGAAGTATACAGCATTGAAAGCACAATGAAATGGGTGGACGATGATTCAAACTTAAAAGGAGTATGATGACTTGTTATGGAATACAAATAATTCTCAGTATCATACATAATTATTTGATAGAAAAAAATGGCAACTTCCATTCAAACCACTAAGTTTTTACAATGATGTAAAACACACTAATTAATAGTATTTAAGACTGCTCTCATTTTCTTCGATATTTGTGACTGACAGAATTTTTAATGTTTTGACAGATTTTAATGGCTTGGAGCACTTATAATTTCCCCCATAGATTATTCACATGGCCTTTCATGACTGTTTTTTTTTTAAAGATTTATTTTATTTTCATTACAAAGTCAGATATACAGAGAGGAGTAGAGACAGAGAGGAAGATCTTCCATCCGATGATTCACTCCCCAAGTGAGCACAATGGCCGGTGCTGCGCCAATCCCAAGCCAGGAACCAGGAACTTCTTCCAGGTCTCCCACGTGGGTGCAGGGTCCCAAGGCTGTGGGCCATCCTCGACTGCTTTCCCAGGCCACAAGCAGGGAGCTGGATGGAAGTGGAGCTGCTGGGATTAGAAGCGGCACCCATATGTGATCCTGGCACGTTCAAGGCGAGGACTTCAGCCGCTAGACCATGCCGCTGAGCCCTCATGACTGTTTTTATGGTCCCTTAATATCATTGCAAAGGGAGGACTGCCTGCAGCCTGGGACAATGCCTACTTCAGGGAAATTATTTTGATTCAACTAATTGAGTGTTAAGTATTTGGAAATCTACATGTCTAAGTGATTAAAAAAAATATTTTTCTTACCTTTCGTTGTACCATGCATCCTCTAGGAAAATTTGTTCTTGAACACAAAAGGCTTGAAAATTCTCCTTAAGGGTGTGATAATGAAAAGAAAGCAGAAAAGTACTGAGTTGGGCTGTACCAGGAAGCAGGACCTCAGTTCAGATCTATGTGAGTAGCAGGGTTGCAGTCCCATCACCTGCTGCCTCCTGGAGTTCACATCAGCTGGAAGCTGGGACCAGGAGGGAGGCTCACACCCAGGCACTCCAATGTGAGATGTCCTTATTTCAACCCATGATCCAGCTGCTAGACAGACCAAACCCCTGTCCCAGAAACATTTCTGGTTGGAGAAATGGCTTTAGAATTCAAATCGCTGAATTCCAGCCATGCGTGGTAGGGAAGATCCGTTATTTTAAGACATGGATAACTTTTTTCGAGGGAAAACTGCTTGAACAATTTTGGTAATGTTTATTCACGTCCATTTTGGGAGTCAGACTTGTAATGGTAATATGAAAAGCTTAGAGAGGGAGGTACAGCTAGATTGAGAATAGACTGCTACATGAGTAAAAGCTCTGTTTTGGAAAAATTACATCACAGTTCTAGTTCAGAATCCAATAAAATCTAAATCCTCATTCTTTGTATATTTTCAAGTGTAGCTAAATAATTTCAGAATTTTATTTGAAAGATAAAAATAATACTTAATAGTTAAGTTCTTTGTGTATAGCCTATTAGAAAAGTTAGTGTAATGCCACTGACACTGATCTTACAAGTGTTACCGAAAGTAAAAAATGCATATGTAAATTTGAATAAAGTGTCATTACATGTGATATAATACCAATTTTATAAATAAATATAAGGAACGGGTATGTACCTTTGGAATATCATGTTATTCTATTTTTGAAATAGTATGTCTACTCCTATTTAGCGAGTGGAAATACAATGTGACAGTCAATTCTAAAGCTACTTTCCTGGCATAAATTTTAAGCAAATAATTTTCAGCAAATACAGTAACTGTTAATTGAAAATATAACTTGGTAAGTTTTAGCTTAGTTCTTTTGAGAAAATAGTTATGAAAAGCTGATGAATGGTGTTATGTAATTTCAGAGACAAGTACCTATATTTGTATGCTCCAAATAGGTATATTCAGAACACCTGAGCATGCTGAAGTACCAAATATGCTGTAACCTATTTGATTTTTTTTAAAGTGACTGAAGTATAGTTCAATTTGGTATGTAGTAGTATTTGGTGTGTAGTATTTTAGGTGGGTGAGTTTTTTTTTGGTTTTTGTTTGTTTGTTTTTTTAACACTTTAGAGCAGAAACCAGAGTATTTCAGTTCTTAAGGAGGTGCTAGTGCCTGAAAAATCTCATTGTGGTCTCTTACGCCCTTTTCACATCCAAAGTTGTGTCACGGTATAGAAAAGTGAGATGTCTCACCTGGACTTCCGTTATAGTTACCCTGCTAGAAATAGCTAACATCCTTGTGCAAAATTCTTGTCACCTCTTAGTTTTTACTGACATCTGCTGGTATCTTTGTGAAAATAAACTGCTCTTTGCTGCTACTACTTCTGCCTAATCTCTTTACTTCTGAATGGAAACTCTGAACATGTAGTTATGCAATAATACCCTGCTGAAGTGGGAATTTAAAAACATTCCTCAAAGTAAAATGATTTCTCTGTGTAGCATACTTATCACCTTTCCAGAAGCAGCTGACTGTTGCTGGCTTTTGTCTTCTTGAAAATATGAATGAGGAAACGGAACTGGACTTAGTTACTTGAGTTGATCGTTTTCTCTTTTTTGCATGTGATCAGCCATTAAGTGTTTAATATAACACAGTCACCAGATGGACAGTTAGCTTTCCTCACATGAGAATTAACATCACCCAAGCCCCAGGGTAGAATGGCTTGTTTATAACTCAAGTCCTGGGATGGAACTCAAACCTAGTTCCCAAATAAGAGTGTCTATATTCATTTCCTGGCTTTGGCTGCTGCCACTGGCTTCGTTCTAATGCATATTCTAGAAGGAAGCAGTAGTGGCTTGTGTAGTTGGGTTCCTATCACCCACATGGGAGACCATGATTGAATTCCTGGCTCCTGGCTTCAGTGCAACACCCAGCCATTACAAATAATTGGCGAAATTAGTTAGGGAGGTGGGAACTTTGTCATTCTCTTATTCTCTCCCAATCCCATGTGTCTCCAGTTTCAAAAAGAAACACACTCATGCCCTTTGGAACTTTTGTTAATAAAGGACAACAAACAGTTATGACCATCACAGTTCCTGCTCTACATCCTTGCAGAATTTTTTTCATATAGTTCTTGTGGGTCTTAATTCCTGTACACAGATATAGCATGTCTTGTGGTGATTTGACATGCTAAGACGCCCATAGTTTAAGTTACCGTTTGGAATGGGGGATGTTTTCGTCTTTCTATTCGTACTACCTGCCTTCAAAGCATTTAACATATATGCAATGTGTGAAGTATTCCCTCTGTGATCCTGTGATTTCATCTCTAGAAATTAGTCCTAGGTCAAGGAGAGTAGAAATTTTTTAATAGTGGGGTCTGGTTAATTAACTAATCAGACAGTTGGAGGAGCATCCTTGACTCTTGTCATTTATGATGTAGTGCTAACAACATTAAACTTAAGAGTCAGGAGCTCCACTTCTTTTTCCCTCTTGCCCTTACACGAAACTCAGCTTTCTGGTTTTGAAGAGATAAATATGAAGTGGTGGCCCTGAAGACAAAAGGGAACTCAGCCTAGCTCCACATTTTCTATATGTCTTAATCCATGTGGGCTGCAGCAGCATACTTCCATACATTGGTGACATAAAAACAGCAGGAATATATTTCCCAAAGCTCTTGAGGCTAGGAAGTCCAAGATCACAGTACTGGCAGGTTCACTGTGGAGAGGTCTTGCTTTATCATTCATAGATTGTTGCTGTGTTGCCAAAACCTCACTAGTAAAAAGACCAACAGATTCCTTGATGTTCAGATTCCTGAGTTCTCCATCATGGCCCACTGACTTTCCAGAACCCTAGCTCCAAACACTGTTACACTGGGGATTAGATTTCTGCATCTCAGTTTGGATTTGGGAATTACAGATAGCCCATGCACTATAATTCTGCATGGGTGACTTGGGTGCTTGACGACTTAAATAGTTGGGGCTGACATTTTGGCACAGTGGGTTAAACCACTGCCCATGACACCAGCATCCCATATGAGCACCTGTTCCAGCTGCTTCATTTATTGCCCCAGCTCCCTCTTGTTGCACCTAGAAGGGCTATGGAGGATTGCCCAAGTGATGGGACCCTGCCACGCATGTGGGAGACCCAGATGCAGTTTCAGGCTTGTACATTGGACCAGGCCCAATCCTAGCCATTGGGACCCCGTGGGAAGTGAGCCAGCAGAGAGAAGATCTTTGCTTCTGTCTCTCCATCCTCTCTCTTGCTGTAATTCTGCCTTTCAATAAGTAAATAGATAAATGTA